CAGCCCTTACAAGCATTAGGAACGTGTCTTAAGCAGAAGACAGTGACCCATGAAAGAAAGGCAGGGCTGACCAGAAGACAACATAATAAGCAAGGCAAAATGAGAAAGCTCTTTTGAAAAGAAAGGATTTTCAGAGTGGAATCACCACTGTCAAACAGGTCACTATGAAGGATTTGGGTCAGGGGGAGTAAGTAGCAGTGCTTCAGCTCCATAGGTGGCTGCAATTTGTAGAGGGGATGCAGAGCCACTGGTGAAACAAACTTAGAATTATGGATGCAGCATTCCTTAGGAACTGTGTGGCACCTGTGGGGAAGCTCTGAAGAGAATTTGAGAGAAAGGGCTACTGTGGTCACAGCTGGGGGCAGTGACTGTTTTAGTGTCAGCCTCCTGCTGGAAGCAGGAACAATAGACTCAGGAAGGAGGTAGTGAAGTCAAAGGGGGAGAGTGGAGGACCTAGAAGACTTCCAGCTGCTTGGACAGAAAGGAAATGCAGGGAGGAAGGGACCACAGGATGTGTAACTAGAAGGACCCAGTGAAAGTGCTGAAACTGAAGAGGAGAGCTTATGGACCCCCACACTAAGGGAGAAGTGCTGAGCACCACTACACTGCCTTGAGGTGTCTCAAGCTGCAGCTTTAATTGCCTTGAGCTGAGACACTGACAAAACCTCTGCAAGCAGGGTTACTGAGTGATGTAAAACAGGAGGACATGGCCAGAAAATGGATATGCTGAAAGCGGCTGAGGTGATGTGGCCTGAAATTTAGTTTGGGAAAGTTCACTGGAGCCATGTTGCTTGGTCCAGATGTTCTAAAGATAACCAGCCAGTTTCTTCCAATTACAGAAGCTACTCCACTGCCCCCTTCCCCTCCCTTTCAGCAAGGATTTGTTCATCATCTCATATTAATCCTTTTTGATCTCCTAAGAACCTAGGTAGCTTGGTAAAGTCTCACTCCCTTGCAGCCCAGAGTTTTTCAGCTCCTTGCAGCCTGGACCTGGGCAGTGGTTCAACACATGGTTGCAAGGTTTTTCTGTTTCTCCTTTTTTGGTTTTGGGTTGGTTTGGTGCAAGATCCCTCTGAAGACACTTTATCTTGTATCACACTGCCTTACTTTTATTGTTTTATACAACCTTTGCTGCCAGCCTGCAGTGGGTATTTTCCAACCACATTTCCATGGGTCAAGATGGGGTTTGTGGCACTGGCTTTGTTTCACGTTCAGCCACATGATCTGTCAGCTGCTGGTCTCAGTGCAGTTACTCTAGAAATGATCATCTACAGGTCTAAGTGGTGTTCAAACCCATTTTGGCTTCAACACCAGCTTTCTTCACAAGCAGAAGGAATTTCTGCAGCCTGCTGTCCCCAGGCATAATGCCAGCAGCTCCACAAATGCAACCAAGGCAGCACCAGTTCACATAGAGCCTGCTCTGCAGTTGGGGGAGCCTGTGGGAGACAGAGCTGAGCTCCACAGCCTCACAGCTGTGGCCTTGGGCTGGACCTGCAAACAGGGCAGGAGCAGAGGCGGTGCAGCACAATTTTTAACAGCACTGACGGGTCTCTGTGCAGGATTGCCACATACCTGCACCTGCCTGGGTGCTTAGTGCCAAGCAAAACAGCCACAAGGACACAGGGGATGGGAAGTGGAACAGAAAGTAAACGGAAACAGCAATAGCCCCAAGCTCCAGGCAGGGCTGTGAGAGTGCCACCCAGAACTGGAGGCTAACCACAGCTCAGCTGCCATCCCACAGCACAGCTGGCCCGTGGGCTTTGTGACCCAGATTTTGCCTACAGGGCAAACCATTACTGGGTTAGGCAAGCTCAGCTGTGACTTTAGGGAAATAGGTGTGATCCATTATAAAGAATCTTTAACTTCCTCTTCCTAGAAAATTCATCATCAACAGGAAATCCAAGATTTGCATGATAGTTCCAAAATTCTTTTCCAGGAAGATGCCAGAACCAAATGAATTATCTGCTAACCAGAGGTGTATGGGCTTTCCACAAAGAATGGCTTTATTAAAAAATAAAATATGACTAGATAATTATTCACTGTGTTGCACATCAGGCACAGAGATGCATTTGTATTTTTTTACAAAAACCATGGGGGAAGAACAGGCTTCACTGGCCTTCTGGAATTCAGGCACAGCAATTAGTTTATGTGTACATGTCTGTGTTCACACACAAAACTTTTGGCATGGAAGTTCTAACTAGAACATTTGTGGTTAACAAAACCTCATTTGCTTCTGTGGAAAACCAAGTATCCAGGCAGAGCTATTACTTTAATATAAGATCATTAGATGTGGGTTGGTTTAGGTTTTTTTTTCCCCTCCTTCCCTCCAGCCAGATCTTTACTACACAGGCTCTCTTTTACTAATCCAGATGGTTTTGGGTAGCCAGGACTAAGTGCCGTGCCCCTTTGTGAGGTACAGTCCAGCCAAGCAATTTTTCATTCTCAATGTGTTGTCTGCTCTCCATGACTTCAGGTCTTAGCAGGAATTTCTGATGTGCAAACATTCCTTAGGGAACTTGTTCACATAAGATGCAATATGTCCCTATTTCTGGAAACCTTCAAGCAGCCCACTGTAATCAGGTAGTCATGTTTTCCTAGGACAAACAAGCCTGTTCAGACTTTGTCCTGTGGAATTTCAGGTTGTTTGTACTGTAATCAGAGGTCCTGTCCGCTGGACATTTCTGTCCTTTAGCACATTATGGTCATACCTAGCTCCATCCCTAATTACAGCCTGACTAGAACTCAGAGGAGAAGTTAAAGTAAATTTTCCATGTCATCCTCTGTAGCTCCCTTCTAGCATCTTTTGACCTTACATGATAGTCTAGCATTAGTGTTTGAAATATGCAGGTTAATCAGGGAAACTTCAGTATTGTGTATAGGACACCCTCAGGTCATTTTAGCCCTGTCTTAGTTTCAGTTCTCTCAGAAGCCTGGCAGGCATGGCTCTCTTCACATTCACGTGTGCTAGGACAAAGGAGCAACAAATCACTCCATTGTGGGTTAGCAAGTGGAACACTTGCAATTACTGCACGACACTAATGATACTTTTACTTGGGACACAGAACTGAAAGCAGACTGGATCTTTAAACAAATCCAAGAGCTTATACACCAACACCTCTAATTACATCATGGCATAAGCTTAGAGGCATCTTCAGATACTGAATCTGGAATACTAATTAAATTAATTTAATTAAATTAAAATCCAGGCAGTTTTAATGTCTGTTACTTAGATATTTAATTGCCTTTTGTAAATACGTTTTCTTTTATTAAGAAATGACATAATAGACTCTGAGCAAAATGCTTTAGCCTTATTCTTTTGGTTTGCACCTCTCTTCCCCATTCATGAAGTACAGTGCTAGGGATATCTCAAGCAAAACGTTTCAACTCTAAGTTCCTGTGGTCTCACAAAAGCACTATAAATAGCATTAGTCTCCCATCTCTTTGTCCATGGCAGACTACATTTTAAGGCATCCAGTATGCTGTAAAAGGTTTATTTCTGTTGTCAGCCAGGCAATGAGATGTTTGTGATACTTTAATCTTCATAAATGAACAGTGTTTGAATATGTCCATCCCCTCCTCTGTTTCAGCCTACATTTTGGCTTACTAGCTGCTGTTAACATAATACTGGCCATTTAATCCTGATGTTCACCCATGGCTTCAGACTTTCTTATGTGTAGCATTTCTCATGTATAGCACCCTTTTTCCAAAAAGCTCTGAAGCAGTTCACCCCAGGTGGTTGGTGGAGGCTTGACTGAGTATTGAGAGTCTGACTTAGCCAGGTCACTCACACTTGCTCGGCCAAAATAAGAATGTCACTACAGAAGGTTACTACAAACTCAAAATGCATTTCAGCAGCAGTTTCAAGCAGATGTACTAAGTACATCTAAGCCATTTTTAAGCAACTGCCTTTGTTTCTCCAACAATGGGAGCATTTCCAGTTTTTTGTTCCCTCAAACTCTTGGGAGCTCTTATCAGTCCCTATGCTGGAATAGGCAGAGCACTAGGATCAGGATGCCAGGTCTTCCCAGCAGCCTCACAGGCTTTCAAAGGCAGAAGGACAGGTGAGATAAAGATGTTTGCTACATCCTTCCTGCTGAATGGCACTTAACAACTGGGCATAAGTGCACTTGCAGCAATTCAGGACAAAAAGGGGAGTTACCCCTCTATGGGTAATTTGTGCCAACCAGCAGGCAGCTTCCACAGTTCAACCCTCATCACAGTGCAGGGGTCTTTGGCAAAGCAGGGAGTGCACTTTTAGCCCTGTGTAAGTCAAGAAGATACTGGAAAGAAAAAAAAGAGGGTCTCTGCTGTGCACTAAGTGCTCTTGAAGAGAGGTGAAGCCAAAATAATCTAGATGCATTGGAAACCCCAGCATACACAATTGAATTTAGGAATCCTAAGCAGAACAGCACTGGAATGTGGCTGTCATTTTGTTAAAACCAGCCTTCAGCATGTGTCATGTAAAAGTCCATTTTAGCTCAAGGAGCATTCAGTCAATTCCAACTTGGTGTACAGCAGATCTGTTCACAACTCATTAGCCTGAACAGCTACACCATGCAAGACAGAAGCTTCTTTCTCCTGTGCCTCAGCTATACTCTCATTCATTCCTGGGGTTATCCCAATAAATATGAGGGCAGTGAAAAGGGATGTTCAGGTTGAAGCTGTATATCACTTATACCAGCTGCCTTACCAAGGAAGCCAACAAGCTTGCAGGTGAGGGATACTGAAAACTTATAAAAGACATGGGAGAATACAGAGCTTTCTGCCAGTCAGCTAGATGGAGCTAAAAAGGGGAAGCAATAGTAGAAATTCCCTATTACCCTGCATATCCAAAATTCTTTGTACAGGAAGCCTGGAGGCAGGGCAGACCTCAACACCCTATGGATACATGTGCATTGAAGTCAGGCAAGTATGCTTTCTTTTATAGAGCTCCATGAAAACACCTCATTTTGCTGAGTGCAAGTCAAAAGGATTGGTTTCTTTCTGCACTCCTACACTACTGTAGTGCTCAGAAAAGTCTTTATTCATCCTTGTTTATTTTTTAGAAAACCCCTACAGATCTAGATGTTTAAAATGAAGCATTAGTTACATGGAATATGTGCCTTTAAAGTCCAGAAGCTGCTGGATATACTGCAAAGGTGGGTTGGGGCCAGGAGTGACCCAGTGACCTGTGCAGGAGATGCTGGTATGGCTGTGAGGCACTGGCAGGGCAGCAGCAATCATGAGCCAACCTTCTCAACGTAATTAGCAGGATAGAGTCCAACCTGACCAGTGAGAAGTCGGCCCTTGCACCAGCCCTGCTCATCTTCCTCACTAATCTTCATTAGTTCTTCACCTAAAAGTAAGAACAGTCATTAGGAGGCAGCCTTGAGAAAGGTAGCATGGCATTTTTACCCACCTAAGATGACTACATAAAAAGCAAGACTATTGGTCTCCGTCATCCCACTTCTCCCCTTATCAACATGTTTATCATAATGCAGTTTAATCAAAGCCAGAATCACTGATCTCTTCAGTATTTATACTCAGTACTATCACCTCGGCCAAGGAACTTAAACAGACCTTTGCTTCTTCTATTCAGCACCAGAAATCTTTTGTGCCCTACAGTTCTGACTGCTCTTCTCTCCCTAAGGAACATGCTTACAAGACAGAGTGATCAGAGATCTGAGACAATTTTTTCTTAATGCATCCTCTGATAGGCAAGTGGGAAGGAAATACAAGAAGCTGCTAAGCTCTGGCTGTTGGGACCCAAAATGCCTATTCCATGATGGAGTGTCTGGTTTGGGCAGTAAGGCATGAAATCAACTGATTTCTCAGACCTATGACCAGGAAACACTTATAATATTTCCACATCTGCTTTGGGAAGGGGCAGAAAGATCCCCTCCTCCACCAGTAGGTGGTCATACTTCTGCCAGAGAGGGTCTGACTGCATCAATGGGCACATCCCACATTGGCAGGGTCTCAAAGTCTGCTCTTAAGCTGAAGCCTTACTGGTATGTGTTGCTCAGAACAGATTCAAAAAGGAGATGACTACAGCTAACAAGTCATACCCCATTTCATCTGCTGAGCTGAAAGAAAGAACAAAGTCAAGTTCTAGAGCACCCATATTGCAGGATATTTTAAAGCAACAAGCTAGCGTTAGGAAGTTTACTAGTTATGGTAACACTGCAGCACAGATATTGGCCTCAGGCACAAGGCCCTGCTACCGAAGGACTTCAGTGACTTTAAATGGGTGTGTTTTGGAGAGATATAGCACAGAGATACCATGTAAAACTCAAAACAAGATCAGACACTCCCAAGATCACCATGTCCACTTAAAGATGAGAGAAGGGCACATGCAAACTTAAATTTAACTAAAGGATGAAAAGGAGACAGGTCTGTTTGCTCCAGTGCTCAATCCTCTGCTGCAAGCCAGGATCTCCATTCTCGAGATACCCATTTTGAGCAACAGTTTGCAATAGCTGTTTTTTGCCACCTGACCTCTGCCTTCAGTAGTACATGTCAGTAGGTGAACTTCTCCCAAAATATATATCTTCACATTATTTGAGAAGACAATCCAGAACACCCATGTAATTTTTATATCAATGGTGCAAGGGAGAAGCACTGAATAAAGGTTCAGGACACAATTCAGAATAAACTCTGACCAAGGCAAAGAGTCTCCTTCCATGTGGCCTCGCTACCTTCTGATCCAGAAAAAACTGGATTTCCCACTGTTATCCACCTTGAAGGAGCTGGCAGTGGTCAGATCAAGGGAAGAATAAATGTCAGACATCCAATTCTTACAGTGTTCCAAACATTCAGTGAGCCCAAGTGAGGACAGTGAAAGGTTAGTAAGAGTGCAGTGCTTCTGTACCTGCTTTGAAGCTCAGCTCATCAGCCTCCTGTCCTGTGTAATCATAGAGGGCTCGTACCCGTACACCTGGCACCGTCAGGTCTTCCTCGTGCCCGTTGGCATCCAGGCACTTCTTGGGAGTGTCCTCATCTGACCACTCCGAAATGTCTTCCTTCCCTCCGCTGTGTGTGGTAGGCAGGAGGGGACAAGATGGTTGTTAGTAGATTGATCTTTCACCCACCTCCTCCTGAACCATGCACCACTCTGACTCCCCCTGAGACTGCTCTGCTATAGGACAGGGTGCAAGAGGCCCAGAAGCCAAGCAAGGGTGAACAGGGAAGAGAGATCTCAGGACATACTACATTTTGTTGAAAGCACCCCAGCATTAGAACCCTGAGGGCCAGGAGGATAACTCACTTTCAAGGTATTTTCACATACACACACACTCTTCATGACCTCCTCCTAGTCTAGCAGACCCTCTCACACAAGGAAGGCCAGTCCTAACTGGCCAGAGAGCCCAGCTGCATCCAGAGTTATTCCAGCCAAGAATAAGACAGAGAGGAAAAGCTGTGTTTTGCATCCCAAAGAGATGTCTGGAATTCTGTTTTTCAAATCAGGGACAAGAGTAGAGGGGAAGAGCAGCAGAGGATAGACATCTGGAACCCCAAAAACCCTGCAGAGGCTATGTTCCATACTAACTTCACATGGGTTGGTGCCTTCAGGGTGTCATAGAAGAGACTGTTCTGCTCCTCTTGATAGGAAAACCTGTAGATTGGCAAATAGGGCCCCTGAATCCAATTGACTGTAACATACAGTAGTGGCCTTGAAAAATCTCTATATCCCCATTCTTCTCTGCTCAGTTCACTTTGGCCAGAGTCTATCTTTTAAAGCAGGACAGCTATTGGAACAGTAGGATGAGTCTGTTCTGCCTCTCCCTGTTCTCCAGGCTTGCTTCCTGGCAAAGGAAGCAGCTATACCCAAACTTGTCATGTACTACTCAGCACCATACCGGGGAAAAACAATAAGAATTTGTTGCCTTCATTTAGGAAGCCACAAAACTCCCAACTCTTCTCACCCTGTCTTGGAGGAAGAACTGGGGAAATGCATGCTATCATCAGACAGCACTAGTCAGATTGGGTTGAATCCTGTCACTAGAAGGATCTTTACCAGGAAGGCACTTCGTGAGGCAGAATATGCTAGACAAAAAAGCCCAAAAAACCCAACAAAACAAACCCAAAACCAAACAGCTACCCTAAACTGTATTTTCTACATGGCCTTTTCCAGAGTGCCACAGATAAGGCCATGGGCAAGAGACAGGAAATTAAGGAAGAGATTATTCCCATCAATCCAACTCATTCATGACCCTTGGCAGGACTGTACTTTTCCTAACCTGATGTATCCCAGAATTCAGCCTTTACCTTGTCTGCAGAGGAGTCTGTGAGACAACACCATCTCGTGTAGGCAAAATGCTGGTCAGTGTGACATCATCAGCCATCTTGCCACTCTTCTCCTTCTTGGTGATTTGCCTCTGTGTTTCGAGGGACCATTCCTGTCCAGGGAAAACCAGTAATACTGTCAAGCCACTCAGATAGAAAAGCTCTGTTAGCTTTTCTGCCCAATACAGAACAACAGAAGACCAGGCTGTACTTCAGTAGCAGCTGAACTGGTCAGCTCAATAGCCTTGCTGGTATAGCAGGCTCATTTCTGTTCAATCCCAAGGTGCAACAAGAGAAGCTTGAGAGAAAATCATGACAGAAAGCTGTCCCACAGCCCTGAGCACCACCTCCTCCTGTTCTTTGACCTTACAGCTGGATGGCTGGAGTATAGCATGGCAGCCTACATGTGCCCCTTTGGGCAGCAGACAGCTTGCAACACAACAATTTCAGAAGAGCCCAACATCTCGAGTCTGCTGAGCAAAGACATGGTCTTTCCAACACAAGGCTAGTAATCACCAATTTCAGGTAAGCAGCTAATTGTTTGGAAATAGCATTAACACACTCTAGAAGGCTCCCCACCTCAAACTGAGGCCAATTCATCGCCATGCCCGGTCCATGAGTGTTGCGCCACCACTTCAGGTCCTCCTGGTTGTCTGCAGCCATGATGACTTGGTGGAGATCCCGATACAACGCATGAAAGCTACAACCAGAGCAGACAGAACCACCAGTAATCAAATCCCTCAGCAGTTTCCCAAAAGCCAAGTAGGAAGGAAGAGATTAACCGTGTGCACAATTACATAGCATCCTCAATCCCACAGGATTAAGGATGCTAGAGCAGGACCGATTCAGTCCTAGGAAAACACAGCCTCTCTTACTGGAGAGTCAGCCTGGCAAACAGGACAGTCTTGTTTGGTGTGGCACTGCCTAACAAGTGCCAGCTCTCTGCACAGCTCATTAAGTGAGCACTGAAATAAATTGGCACATTCTTGCACACGGACAGGGAGGTGGCTCAGATTTGTTGCCTCCACAAAGGGGCACAGAAGATTTTTGGCTGTGCCTGTTACCCCTGTGTAACCTCTCCTTAGGGCAACTTGTGGGCTTACAGGCATTACTTCACAAAAGGTCTCGCTAGTAAGGGCAAAATGAGTGGAACAACCATCAATACTAGAAGGCAACAGAGCCATATTCCTCAGCCTGGGATTACATGTAACAACATGGAGGCATTTCATAGGATAGAAGTATACACACAGGACAGTACTGGACAGTAGTGAAAAAGGAAGGGTTCAAAGGCAGAAAATCCTCTCTGGGGAGCCTGGCACTGCCTACAATCACAGACCCCAGCACTGGTCACTCTAAAGAGACCAAATGCTAGTTCTAAGATATATTTTAAAGGGGAAAGAATGAGGTCTGGCTGATGCAAGCAAGCAGCTTCCAGAGACACCAGAATTGGCACCTTTCACCAGAGCCTAAGCATTCCAGGCTAGCAGAATTCCCCTCTGCATCAGGCCCAGTACCTTTCACTGGTTGAGAGGTTGAGATGCTGGTGCAGATTCAGAAGCATCTCCTTAAAGAAGCACAATCGCTTGCGCTCTGCCTCCTGACAGCCCTCAAACACTTGCTCCATGTCCTCCATGTAGCGGGGATTGTAACGATTCAATTCTTCCAGCATCTTCTCATACTGTTCCTTGCACTGTAGCAGGAGCACAGCAAAGGTGAGTGAGATGTGTTGCCCTGATGGCAAACAAGTAACAACTCTCCCTACTCAGGCTTGGGACTGGCAAGTTTTTTTTCCCCACTGAACAGCTGAACAAAACCGCCAAAGAAATAAGAAATCCCACAGCTGATGTCCCAGTCCATTGCTCTCCTAATATTCTTGCAAGTTTCCTGTTCTTGCTTACTACTCTCTTCCATACAGGACCTTCTACACTTTCCCTCTTGTGGACAAATCAGTTATTTTTGGTAGCCAAGTCTTCAGCTCTACAGGTTCCACCCCCTGCACCAAATCCCCTACACTTTTTTCCTTTTTTATTTTAAATTTATTTATAAATTAGGATCTTGCCTAACTCCAAAGACCAAGACCTTAGTTACTAAAGTCTGAGTCTAGCTCACTAAAACCTCCGATTATGGGATTTCACATCTTTTTACAGGGTTCAGCTGAGTAATTTCACTGAGGGACATTATCACCAATGCTTTTTCCCTGAAAGGAATATCCTTGTGACCCCAGTCCATGAAACACACACACACACCTTCTCAGCCTCCTGAGTGCACTTCTCTACACGCTCTTGCAACTTGCGCATCTGCTCCTGTGAGACAGACGAGTCTGCCTTGGCATGGTTCTCCCTTGTATGGGCCGTTTTCTCCTCCTTCCTGGCTGCATGATAGTTTTTCTTAGAAGTCTCCACCTGTAGGAAAAGGGATGCAGAAAAAGCCATGATCCTGCCCACACTGATTTTCCAACACTCAGAGGAGGCATGTTAACATTTATTAGAGTCTGCAGTAACCTAACAGAAATGCCAGTTCAGCATTTAGTAAACAATGGTCCAGTGGGAAGAAGTACCTTCAAATGATCTCTTTGTCAGTGCTCACCTGCTGTGCAGGAATACAGAACCTGTGACCAAAGTCTTCCCATATGGGAAGGAAGTTATAAAACCATAAGAACATAGACCCTGGAGACATCCATTTCTCTCTGGAATTCTCTGCTACTCTGGCTAACCTAGTTTGTTTGCCCAGTCGCTCTTGGAATCAGGCAGCCAGCTCAACTACCCTTATCTATCTCTCTTTCCCCACTCACACTTTGCTTACATCTTTCATCTTCTTCACCCAGGGTTTCTGGGCCTTCCGGAACCCATCCTCTGCGTCCTTTGTTTCCTTGAAGCCTCCGATCATCTGCTTGTGGTAGGCCTCCTTCTGCCAGGCCTTGATCTTATCTGAATCTTCACCAGCCAGGTGGTTCCGGACAGCCAAGTGAATTTCACTCAGTTTGTCTGCAGCTGTCAGGAAGGCATGCCAGGCCTTTTCCAGAGTACCATACTGCGGACCTGCAAGAATAAGCACCAGAGGGGCTCTTGTACCTACTGCCCACAGAAGGGAATGCAGATTCTCTTCCTCCTACATACATCCACCAGTATGGATTCACTTCACTAACTCTGCCCCATCAAACAAGTCAGCACCGACTGGTCTCCACAGTTGCACCAGGCAGCGTCTAGACTGGCTGTTAGAGCTGGATGAGATGGGCATATCTTTGGGCAGCCTCAACTGTCCCAGATGGTACCTGCCAGGAGGTTTCTGTAGAAAATCCTTTTCCCAAATCTGGCCTGAGCTTCAGGTAGGACAGCAACATTAGTTCATGACTGAAGCTAGGCTTCAGCTCCACAGAGCAGCAGGTCCTTTGGAACATCTGTCCTATTGTTTCTTGTTACTTTGTGAGACACTATGAGCTTGAGCACACTGCCACTAAATCACAGCATTAGTAGTTATTCTCAGGCTGGAGGAAAAGACAGCTAAGCCATCTTTAAAAGGGGGGTACATCCAGCTTGATTCAAGACATGGACTGCCAAAGGACTTGCCAAACTATTGGCAAGATTTATTTTTTTGATAACCAAGCACATGACAAGAAAACACCTCTCCAAGTGGATCAGAGGATTGACTAAAATAAACAGGCAAACACACAAGAAAGACATCCAAGAAAGTCACCCCCTTCCTGGGGAAGGGAAGCCTGTGTCTCAAGGAAACAGCGTCACCTCAGTAAGAGACAGTTCTCAAAGAGGGGAGTGCAATGATTGCTTCCTGTTTCCAGTCTAATATGCCAACTTTACCTCTCTCCACATTGGTCCTCCACTTACGGGACCACTCTGTTAGCTGCTGGGCATAGTTCTTCTCTATCTTGGCTCTCTCCTGGAAGCAGGAGATAAGGTCATTGCAGAGCCGGTACCCATCATCCACACGTTTCACTGTCCGCTTGTAGTTTCCAGCCTGAAATGTCACACAGCATGATCGTTTATACCGTACCGACTCTGGCATTCCTGCAGTACAGACAACCTCCGTCATTGCATGGGGAGGGAACACGGGCCCTTCTGAAGGCAGCATCTGGGCTCACACCCTCCTTTGGCAGTCTCAGGCAGACAGCACTGGAGGGAAGAAGCTGAGATGCTTTGCTTGCTTCTCTCACAGCTCAGATGTCAGCTGAACGAGGAATTCTCATTCCACAGTACCTACAGAACAGTCTCTACTCCCTACAGTAACACACAGCATGGTACTGAACCTTCCCACAGCTCCTCCCTTCCACTCCTCAAGGACAACATGTCACCCACAGACCTGGAACTCAACCCCCTAATTCCATCAGTGGGTGGTAAGATGACAATCCTACCTCCCTCACACTCCAATTATCCTTCCTTACCTCCCAGAAACTGCCCCCAGGAGCCTCCCCGCCAGCATCATCTTCTGATGACATCACCCTCTTTTTCTTGCAGCAGGGAATGTTTGCAGATTTCAGTTAACCTGACAAGAGAGAAAAGTGATTTCAAACATAGCACTGGCTGGGCCTTTGCAGACAGCATAGTTCTCCATGACTCTGGGAGCTGGAGGAACCCAAGTTGCTGCCCGGCAGCCAAGCACTGTCACCAGTGCCCCTCCAGCTGCAGATGGCAAGGTCCAGCAGAGATGCCCAGGGCTGAAATGGCCTCCTCCCTCCCTGCAGACAAGAGGCCTCCCTGGCAGGCCTGTAACACATTGGGAAAGGATGTTGTAGAAGACAATCTTGCCAAACCTTGGCTGTGCAGATGCCAGAGATGCTCATTAATCCAACCAAGGTCCTCAGGAGAGTAACAGAAACAGAGGTAGCTAAAGCTATTTAAAATCTGCCTTGAAAGATTTAAAATAAGTCTTGTGTCAATGGCGATGACTCCAGCTTCCCAGTATGACTCAGGATTACAGGATTACAACAACTGACTGGGGAAAACAAGGCTGAGCAGTCAGCAGGCAGGCATGTCTTGAATGGGGAGGAGCCCTGTAAGCTGCCCACCAGCTGAGCTGGGCTTGAGCAGAAGTACAGAAACATGCTGGGGCATACCCAACAAAAGGGCAGCACAGCTCACCTGCCTATTACCCAGCAGCCCTGCTTCCCTAGGAACATCCCTACACAGCTGCCCTTTTCACTACACTCACTGCATTAGGCTCAAAATCTAGACTGGAATGTAAAAGGTTTTCATCTCATTGTCTGCTATCTTAGAACTTTTGCCCAATCTCCTGTGCTAGCCTGCACTGCCAGTTTGTTCCTGATGTGGTACAACACTATGAATTCCTTGGGGAGCGGTTCAGGGTTTTTCTTGTGCAAGAATGAGAGAAGGAGTAACAGAACCCAAGCCCAGTCACTTGCTGACAAACCCAGTTCTTTCCAGACGAGCCCAGGTTAATGCAGCATGCATGGCCTTTGCTGCCACTTCTCCTCTTGCACATTCCTAGTTATAAAAAGCTTCCCTCACACCCCAGAGAGGTATCTGCTCATTCTGCCAGCCCACAGAGCACACAGCAGAGATGAAGATCAGGTCAAGAGTCCACATCTCCCACCTCATGCAAATCCTTCTTGGTGGCGTGAGCCACACAGTGAAGCGGCCCAACCCAGACTGCAGGAATTTCTGACATTTGGCTATGTTTGCCCAGTGTCATCCCATGGAGTGTGTCAGAAGCACATTATTGCTGTTGCTCTGGCCTTCTTCAGAAACCTGGAAATACTGAACTATAGTCACTGAAGCAAGCTGTTAAATGGGATATGACATTCAGGTACATGAATCCTGAAAAATTAATTCCTCCACCATGCCACCAGTTGTCCCTGTCCTCCCTCCCTGCCGACTGCAAAGTCATCTTACAGCCTCCAGGGTATGCAACTCTACTCCTGGCCCCAGTAACTACATACCTGAAAGCCAAAGCAAGATGCCGCAGGGGAGCAGTGGGAAGCCGGCAAGTGTGTCTCAATCTCTTCAGACTCTGAAAAAAGACTGGAGGAGACAGAGATGGTCACGGTCAGACACTGCTTTGCAGGGATGATGCCTGTTCTGATGCACTGCAGTCCTAGGGGTGTCCCTTTTCTACTAGCTACTTAGGAGGGGCACCCTCTGATATAGCAGCTGCAGCCACTGTGCCTCCCGAGATGCCATGTTCCAGCACGTAGGAGAGATGCCAGATCCTTGTGTCACAAGATCTAGCCCCAGAGAGAGTTAAAATAGAAACACTGGGGTGGCTGACAGCACTGTGCAGGAAAGGTAGCATCACAACAGCTGAGCACAGGGAACAGCTTGGGCCAGAAAGGCCTAAAATAAACCTGCACCCCATGTGGAGCCTGTCCCCCCTTACTGGACAGCATCCAGTTTAGTAAACCCCACCATCTCCATGCCCTGCTGCATATACTTTTACACACAGCTGCCTTTGGGAGAAAGGGGACACACATATACCTTCTCAGTCTCTTTTAACTAAAGACGAAGACATTTATACACAAGTCAAAGAACTTCATAACTTCATAAAGAAAAAAATAAAAAGCCACCAAAACTCACCAGAATGCCTATTCTGGTCTACAGTCCCTTCAGTAGCAGAGCACCTAGCACTGCACTGATACGATGTGGCCCTCTAGCAGGAGAGCTTTTTTGTCCCTTGCTTCTGTAAGCTGTTCCCATCACAGCCTCAGAAATACTTCATTTTCCTATATGGTACAGCTAACTGTCATCAGCTTTCCACAGAGCAAAGAGAAGTAAAAGGTCTGCAGAGGCTAAGAGAAGCAAGGGCAGAATAAGGCATTTTTGTTTATCTCACATTTACATCCCTAGGGATTTACCTCAATGTAAAAAGTTTCTTTAAAAAAAAACCAAAAACCCAGACAAAACCAACAAAAAGCCTCAGTGGCAGACAAGCAAAAAAAAAAAAAAATCCCTTCTCAGTCACCAATATGCACTCAACTAAGGCTGGAAGGTTAGGGCAGTTGAGAGTAAACCTGGAAGTGGGATTTTTAGCCAGATGATAAAACCATTTTTGAGAAGAAATGAAAGAAGGAAGGGAAAGAGAAGGAAGGAAAGAAAAGCAGAGTGGGTTATTGCAAATGAATGACTTTTGGTGAGGAGGGGGAGGGCAAGAGGTTGAGGGGGAAGAATTGTGACTCAGAGTGGTCCAGGACACTGGATAAAAGGTTAAAGCTCATCAACAACCTTATAAGGCTTCCCAGGAGTCCCAAATAAAACCAGACTAAATATTCGTGAAATTGCTATAATTAAAAAAAAAATTCATGAAGTTACCTAAAAGTGTATTTAAAACCCATCCTTTCTTTCTTTCTCCTGATGAAGACATAGATCAATTATACATGACACATGAATGCTGTATCACTTTTTCCACGCTGCTCCCTCATCCTCACTTTATCAGGAAGCAATGAATCACAAACATGCCTTCCAGCTCTGGTTTCCAATTCAGGCTGACAACATGGTACTAGAATTTGGGGGGTAAATGTGGAAAGCTGTTGTATGGCAGCGTAGGCTTGTTCATTTGAGGGACAGTCAGGCTAAACAAACATCCCAAAAAAAAAAAAATCCATTCTTTCTGCAGTTTCCATGTTAGAATTTGAGTCACATCTGCTTGCTTTCTCAGGAGTTACCAACTCCAATAACCAGATTTACTATCCCTAACAGGCTCTGAAATATAATAGCAGCTGTGCTGGATCAGACTAAGGTTTATCATGGCCTCATAGCCTTTCTAGACAGCAGCCAAAAGGAGATACCTTCCCTTGCTTTGACAACAGAGCAAGCATAACATGATGATGTCTCCCTGCATGCTCTCCGAGCCTCTAACCACTTGCTGACAGGAACTTCCCTGAGCTGGATGTGCCACCTATGTAAGATGTATCTTAAATTAATTTCTTCAACCTGCTTTTGAACTCTCATGATTTTTCAGCACCTCTAATTCATGGGGCAAAGTATGCCACAGCCTAAGGCTTTACTGTAGTCATCAGCACAGTAGCTGGGGGCAAAATGCAATGACAGTATAATGCAAAATACAGTAATACAGTAAAATGCAATGGTATATTTCTCCAGGCTAATCTCCATGACCTGAGTCCATAGAAGCTGTATAGCCTTTCTAAAAATCCAGGAAAATCCAGCTTGGTAGAAGCAAAAAAGGTCAAAGAACAAGAAGGACCTTTTCCTGCTGGGCTTTTTCTGGACTTTACATACTTTGTGAGCCCATGTCAGTCAGCAGATCAAATTGGATCTGCATGCAGACATAGGGAAGGTACTTAGTACTGCACAGAGGGGCTGAAAAGAACAGCTGCTGCTGTCACCCTGAGTGAGCCCTAGAAGAGCAAGTAGATTGCCAGTCCACCCCTTCATGCCTATCTATTCCTGAAATACCACGTGGTGTGAGCCACCAAGGGTATGAGACAAGGGAAAGCCCAAGTTTGAAGGGAAAAATAAATATATGTGCCAAAGCCTGGAGGTTGTTCTACAGCAAAGTAAAGATGACAGGGATACCTCGTGGGCAGCCTGATTTAGCAAGAGCAACCAAAGAATTCAGGAGGGCTGGCAGAGCCTGTATAGTATAAGCAACATAGCTGGAGTTATATTGGGTCGAGTAGAGTTTTATGTGGGCCAGTACCACATACAAGACTCCTCCTGATGCCACTGCCACCTCTGCTAAGAGGAGGCTATCTAGCAATCATATTTGCAGGGCAAAGGAATGTTTATCCCTACCTTCCCACCTTTCTTTATCAGCTCTCACACTTAAGAGCTACTTAAGACCTCACAGCAGCTCCTGCAAGACGAGTTCTCTGAAGAAGAGTGACAGCACTACTATTCATTGCACACCTCCAGAGGGTTACAGATAAAGGCAGCACAGACACCACTACAACCAGCAACATCAGGCAAACTGACCCATGCAAATGACAGCTACAACTATTTCTGCTTGTTGTGTTATAAAAGATATCTTCCTTCTTCCCCCACATACCTGCTCTCACTTAGGAGCCAACATAATTATTAGGCCACACCTGCTATCAACTCCCTATTAAGTTATCAACAAATGCTTCTTGTTCTTTAGCTGCAGAAAGGTGGAATGGCTCATGACTGTCTCACTGGTACTGAACTCCACTCAGGAAAATACCAGAGTGGATACCATTGTGATAGAGCTGTTTCTACCTTTAAGCCATGTTGTTATTCTTACTTGTGAACCAGTCAGGGACACGTCTCAGACCACAGATGCCTGCCCTCAGACCAAGGTGTCAAGCTAAAACCTTCCCTTTCAAAAATATATGAAACCCATTATGCATTGTAGGGTGTGCCTTGTTGCTTCCTGCTTTCACAGCATCTGTGCAACAGGGTCCTGATCCACAAAGAAAACTTCCAGACCCAGAACTAATAATCTCTCTTCTCCATTGAAAGCTTTCCCTTAGGCAGGTAAACCACAGAAATTCCCTTCCATCTACACCACATTCCAATACTTCCAGCCTCCAAATGCCCGAGGCACTACTTCTATGCATTGCTTGACTGTCTCCTAAGAATCTTTGTGAGCAACTGTTTTTCTTACTTCCCCAAGATCAAGCCTCTGAACTCTACAAAAGCTCAAAGGGCTGCAGCCCTGCAGGAATTCATCCACAGAAACAAAGCTTGTACATTGCACCAGACAAGGCCTTCGGCCCAACTCCCCTTTCCCAACTACAACAGCAAATGCTGGATGCAGACGTATGTAGGAACAAATTGAGTTACACTTACCTAATAACTGAGGCTTTGGTGGAGACACATTTTTATTGTGGATCAATTTCTATAGAGGTGCTAAAGCCAAGCTAAGCAAAAGTATTAATCAGTAATTGGTTGCTACTAACTAATTTTCACCTCATGACAACTACCACCAGAAGGCAGGAATTTGATACTTTCTATAACCAATTTGTTTGATTCCCCAGTCATTTTTCTATATGGCACACAGTGGTGAAGATATTCCTTTCCCTCCAAAAACACTGGCACTCTGGTATAGATTGCAGATAAACATTTCAATCTGAACAATCCAAATACACAAAAATATGGCAGCCCCCCTTCCCTTACAGAATCACATCCCTTTTTTAGCTTTTAACTTGTCAGAATGAAACTGGAGAGCAGAAGCCAGGAGGTTGCACGTCACTCCAGCAGTGTAACAAACTCGATTGCTGTTGGTACAGCAGAGCTCTAGCAAGGTCCCAAACAGGGTGAATGGAGCTTGGGACAGGGTGTCCTTTGCAGACTCACCATCTCTAGAATTGCACATCCAGTAGCTCTGAACCAGTAACTGGGATGATGTCCAGTAATGTGCTCTCCACTGCCATTATATAGGAGGTCTGGTATTTACAGGCATACTCACCTTTCTGAAGAAGGGACAGTTCTTGTCTACTGCTACAAAGGGGCCAAGTAACACAAAGATCCTCCAAGACTTCCTTTAGAGGTATTTATCTTATTGCAGTGTCACGCCCTCAGCAGTCACCTGACTGGGAAAGGGACCAAGCCAGTGTTTCCCAGCCTCTCCCTAGGGACTGAAGCCTGCCAGGGCTGTCTAATAGAGTTTCAAGCAAGATTTCAGTTCATCTCTCCAGCCAGGGAAAGGTCAGAGAGGCACCAGGCAGAACAGTAACTACACACAGAGGTCACTTCAGCTCTGTACAAGCTTGTAACAGAAGCCCATTTCCCAGCCCATGATTCTTTAGAGATTGTGTGGCTGTTCACTAGCAAAATTCTCCATGATTATATCAAAGTACTAAAACACAGAAAATCCAGTTCCACTTGAAGGGCTGAACCCCCGAGTCCAGACCACAGCTTCTTCAGCTTAGTCTTCACATTCACACCAAGCTAATGTACCAATGACAGATATTCCCCATGTGCCACCCCAAGCTCTTTTCAAAATGTTCATGCAGAACTCAATCTTTCTACATTTATTAGTTACTTCCTGTCAGCTGCCAAGGCTACAGGACAGGCTTCTACTAATACATTGCTGCTGATCTAGGGGTGAAGATTCCTGGCTGACATAGCTTTACCTGGCAGAAACTGTTTTACCAAGAAAAGGAAAATATCTGCTTTCATTTTCCAATACGATGTAGAAGATCTTTAATATTACAGGAACACAGATCTTTCTGGTTAACATGATAGTATGAGACAATGTTAATGAAGGAATGTAGTGGGCTGTCAAGGTACGTGTAACTTTTTTTCCCAGTTGTTCTTTGTATTAAAAAAAATAATTTAATTTCCAATACAGAGCTGAAGGAGGGAAGAAGCCAGCACTGAACCATTGTGTACCATATTCAAACAGGGCAATAGGCTATGCTAATTTTTATTCAAAATGGTTGCTGGAATCATTTAAACATGTATATTGTGTCTATGTGTTTATCAGCTGCAGCTGACAGCCTGCTAAGAAGCCACACATACAAGTTACCAGGAACAGCACTACCCTAGCTGCTCTCTTAGACTTGTGAACAGCATCATTCCTGTTCCACTCCTTAGTAACAGCCTGCCCACTTTCCAGCTCTCACACTCCCTGTCCTACCACTCTCTCAGGGCAAGGTTTTAACCCAGGCACATACTGAGAACTGTAATCACTGTCCCACTTCCTAGACTCCACTTGTTTGCTTCTATGCAGGATATTTCCCAGGGTACTTCCCACCCTGCTGCATCAGCCTCTGCAAGCAAACACCAAGCTTGTGAGCAAATACATGCACTTCTCTTTTCATCAGATGGGAACCCAAACAACTGAAAGTTCTTTCTTCCTAAATCACTGATAAACAGGTGTTTAAAGCTCTAGTCAAAGCTAGTATATCTCTCCTCAGCAGTCTCAATCCACACTGAATATAAACATTTTCCAGAATTTAATCTACATCTTATCTGGTAATGTTTTTTTCTGCACTTATTGACTGGTAAGATCAATAGTCCATCCTGTAACACAGTTGCCTGGAACTTAGTAAAAGTAAGTTATTGTAGTAACAGGTTGGACCAGTCTACCCTCTCCAACTGGGCTTGGAATAAGAAGTTTGGTTTGTTTGGATCTTTACATGAACAGCACGGATCCAAGCAGAATAAAGTGCCCTGGACTCATCTAACCCTGAGTAAAGAAGGCAGAAATAATGGGAAGTGGCGATCAGGGGTGTTTCCTGTGGTTGTGGATGGGGAGCAGGCAGGGGGACAAACTCCAGTAAATTCCTGCCACTGGAATATTCTCCTGTGATTGAATCACCTTGCAATGCCAAGAGTAAGGATCAAGTTTACATGAATGCATTAGGAAGTCCTAAGGAAGCAGACTGCAAACAATGTAATCAAACAACCTTTGTGGGAGTCACAAGCCAGTTAGATCCATGCTAATACTGAGCTTCTGGTGGTTTCTTGCTTCACTAGACTGCACAGCAGTCACAAGTCTCTAGCCTTCTCTGCTCCCTTCTCCCACTTGGAAGCCACAGTGAGTTTTTAAACTCATGTGCAGTTCTGCAATTTCTGGGTTACCCTTACCAATAGTTGTCTTTTCCACTGGCTATTTTTTTGAGGAAGGGGAATGGGAGATAAGAGTTGGCAAGAAATTTGTCCTTCAGACCAAGTGTGTGACAATCATATGGCAAATTATTTCAAAGTACTGCATTTCTTTATCTATGGTTGCATCAAACAGATTTCTGGCTTTACATGGTAAAAGCTGATTTACTAAAACTACTTATTATGTGAATACTTTCCTTCCAAATATTCATATAATGGAGACAAAAACATGAAAGATCATCCTCAAGGCATTTCTGAAGTTCATCCAGTTCCCTGCAGAGTCTAGAGTCCCAAACAGTCTGGAGAGGGGAGTATAACCAACTCCTTGACTTAGGAGCTGAATAAGGTAAGATTGACTGCTAGGGCATCTCTTATGGTAAAGAAGAATGATTTTAAAGCATCATACCCATTACATCTGTTCCAGGTGTGACCAGTTCCTCCACTTTGACAGGGGCAAGCTCTTTTTTTCACCTTTGGTTACCAGAGCAAGGTTTACTCTGCAGGACAATCTAAACAGCATAAAAACAACTGTAACTTAAGGCAGATTTCAATACCATATGAACTGGAAGGACTGTAGAGTAGGTTTTACAGAGTCATTTTGCATAATCTTTTATGGGACCAGACATGTGAAAAGAAAACATCATTTGCTCTGTGGACTGGCGAGAACTTACATTCCCTTTGTAGCATCTCCTGGTTCAGGAAGAGTTTGGCAGATCAGCCAGTTTGGAGGTACTCCACTCCTAAACATATTCATACACCTTTCTGACAGATTTCCCAGAGATACACACAGTTAACAAGGTTGAAGTAGGAAAGCCATTAGGAACTGGCCTGCACTGTAGAAATTCATACTTCATTGAATCATAGATTGGTTTTTGGGTTGGAAGCGATCACAAAGAGCATCTAGTTCCACACCCATCTCCATGGGCTTGGATGCCACACACTAGACCAGGTTGTTCAAAACCCCATCCTACCTGGCCTTGAACACTACCAGGGATGGGGGCATCCACAACTTCTCTGGGCAACCTGTTCTAGCAACCCTTTGTGTAAAGAATTTCTCCATAACATCTAATCTAAATCTCTAGTTTAAAAGCATTCCCCTTTGTCTGATCACCATCCACCCATGTAAAAAGTTCCTCTCCCTCTTTTTTATAAGCTCCTTTTAAGTACTGAAAGGCTGAAATTCTTCTACTGAAAGGCCATGAATACTTCACACATTCTTCTTGAAGTTCATTGCCCTGCATGTCATGGAGCAGCTTTTATCTAGTTCCATAGTATCTGCACAGAATCCGCTCCTTAGTATCAGTAGTGCCTCTTAAAATAAATTTTTGGATCTCAGGCTGAAAAACAGGACTATTAACACTTCATACTCCAAATGTTATTCAAAATACTTTAGGAGAGCACAGGCAAACAGAGCAGTCAGCCCAAAGTGCACATGTGACAGGACAGATTTTAATGTTCAGCATCACTGGAATGTCATTTGCTTTCTCAGTCCACTGCCCAAAAGAATTATTTCAGTTTCTGGTCCTCAGGATTCAACCTGACATGTGAGGGAAGAACACTGGAAGGCTTTTTAAAAAACCCACAAGCACAACAAAGCAATCCAGTGGGCTTTATTTCCCTGCAAGGCTTCCTGAAGCAGCTCAAAACCCTAGTTGTTTGCTTGCATTGGAGTAGAAGCCTGCTGAAGTCAACAACAAGCCTTCCCGTGGGTTACCACAGCTTACCAGCTCTCATACAAGGCAGAGCTGACTAAAAACATCAAGAAGCAGAAGTAAATACCTGTAATCATTTAAGAAGTGAAATATGCTACATCTTGTCCCCATCCTCCATAAAAGCTTCTTGCTCTTGTCAGAAAAGGCAACACGGCCACAGCAGAGCTCTGCACCACAGCTGGTGCAGCTCAACACCCTCAGGACTGGGAGAAGTTTGGCTCAGAAGCAGGGGATCTGTAGTAAAGGATGGCAGGAAGTTACTACCTGTAGAAAATCACCTGTAGGTGACTGAAATGACTGATTATATCCCTTCAGAGAGCGCAGGAGGAAAGTACTGTATGTTCCTGCAAACAGGAGGGACACAGCTTGGGCAAGTTCACAGGAGGGACAGGACTGAGGAGCCTGAAGACTTGCTAGCACTTATGGGTTGCCTACAGCAATTCTAATGCCTCTAGCTAGGAAAAACTTAGTAGCAATAAACAGAGTCCTACCACCGTCACCTATTAAGAGAGCATAAAATCCCACACAAACCTAATGCCTCTGGATCCAGGCCTCCGGTACCATGGAGATCCCTCACATGCCTTTTCAACAAACTACAGTGCCCAGTGACAATCACTAGATTTAACACACAAATTCCAGCTATGGAAAGTCTGAAAGGCTCATTCCCATCATCCCATTCACAGCGAGGAGAAACCAGTGAAGGCTCAAATGTGATTAGGATGCCAGTCACATTTACTGCCTTATAGCAGTGCCCCACTTCAGCCCACTTTTCAGCATGAAGGAACTTGAGACTAATGTACTGGTCACTGAAACAAAGCTGGATGATTACAGCAGAGGATGCACCAGGTTCTTTGCACCGACATTTTCCTTTGTGCTGCTGGAAAAATTTGTGCCCAAACAGAGTGCATTTTGATGTTAAATTACAGTGATCATCATGCTGCTGCAAGGTAGTGGAAAAAAGCTACCACTTGAACAGCTTCTTAACTGCTCCAAGAATGCCAAGTCCTTTTGTAATTCTTCAAAGAGCAAAATCCTAAATTCTTTGTGAAAACTTCCAGATATGGTAGTCACTGTTTTCTGACCCATCCACTAAGGTCTTAGACTAAAATATTAAGGCTTTTTTTTTAATCTATCTGTCACAGTTGCCTCTCACAGAGTACCCCTACACCCATCGCAGTGAGTAACTAGTGATAAAACAGCATGCCTGATCACAAAGTCTGTTTTAAAAAGATAAGAGCTCCTTAAAGGGCTTAAACAGCTCTCCTATTGTTCAGGCATTTCCCCATGAACTCTCAAGAGCAGCCTAAATTCACAGATCACTGATCAGCTGATGGCAAAAATAGAGACAGTTTATTAATGCTCTCTGATCAAGAGTATAGCTTTTTCCACTCAGCAGATACTTCTGGCTTTTGAGGTCCCCAGTTCAATCTCTGGATGCCAGCCATGACACAGACCAAATGGTTCAAACAACAACTGAATAATATCCAGCCCTTGAGATGGCCAGAATAAAGAATATACAGTTTGCCATGCTGATATCATGAGTTCTGACAGAAGCTCACATCACCCCATTGTGGTGGTGAAAGCATTCTTACAGTTTTCATCTCCTAACAAGTCCCATTATTGTATTACTGATCTTGTATATATAAATGAATGCATGTATGCAAATATGTATTACTTCTCTGATATATATTTCTTTTCTTTTTGCTGGAAATTCATGATCATCTGGAGAAAGCCCAAAAGATTCAGGCTAGGTCTTGTATAATCTACAAAGACCTAAAATGACTAAAAGCACCAGTCATTATCCTGTGAAGAAGTTAATTCGGGTCCATAAAATTTTCAGCCTTCTATGACTTAGTTACACACACAGTCTGCCAGTGACCTGCAGCATTTTGGTGTAGTCCAGTCACACACAAGCCTATTCACTTGTTGACACTTGATAATAGAGTTCCAGGTGGGCAGTTGTTCTCAGCCCTATACGTAGGTGACACACTGAAGTTACTGCTTTTTACAGCCTGAGAAGAAGACAGTCTTCACTTAAACAAGTGCAGGCAAGCCAGAGAAGTTCAAACACACAGGTCAGATGGGGGAAAAAAAAAAAAAGCCAATAAAGCAATACAATAGACCAGGCACAGAATAGGGAAGGCAGCAGGCAGCTGATCAAGCTCACACATTCATTCTGTTCCAAGCTACAAGTCAAAGGACAATCCAGTAAATATTTTAGGGAACTTCTAGATAAATACCATTAATTACACAAAACACTATCAAAGCAGACTTCATCTCACATAAAGCACATTGTGGACTTCAGGGAAAGGTGAATCCTTGCATGAAAGAATGTGCTCAGTTATGCAACTCTTAGGGAGAAGCTCCACTTTGACTCCACCCAGAGACCAGCTCACACCTGGAGCAAGGAGTATCTGGACCCTGTCATTTTAGCCCACACATTGCAGTTGTGCATTCTGCTCTCATTCCTTCCTGAGAATGACTTGAGTCACCCACTGTAAGGCTTAGTGACACTTCAGGGTGGAGTGGGAGGCTCTGCTTGGGTTCTGTACTGTAATCAATTACCATCATATCAGAAATTCCTTTGCGCGAATTAGATGGGTAGTTGATTTGAAGGGCAGAGAAGTTCATTTCCAGTTTCAGGAAGTAGGGAGCATCACTTCTGTACAGAAGGTCAAATAATGACTAAAAAGGCCAGACTACTTCCTAGGGCTAGAACAAGTGTCTGGCGGTGGTCAGCTAACCTCATTTGCCCCACCAAGCCCTGAGCCTTCTTGCATGCCTGAAGAACTGAAGCAAGCAAAGAACACATAGTTGGCACAGAAAGTGGTGGAGCAGGTTAATGCGTTTGGGCCACGCTAGCTTCATT